TATACCCAAAATATAATACAGAAATCTTTCTTCTATACCCAAAATATAATACAGAAATCTTTCTTCTGTCCAACTTGACTAGTCTACGTAATTTGGTAACTCAATTACATACACAAACGCATGTTTAAAATGTATTAAGGATAATGTTCTTTTTCTTCTCCAAATTTTATGAGATAGTTTTATTCAAAATCTTCAGATGCATATTTTAAGTATCTACTTCTTTTTATGTTTTACATTTGTTATTATTTTATACAGGCAGTGTTCATTTAAATTTGCCCATGTAAATTAAATTTTCCTCAATATTTTATTATGAAAAATTTTAAGTATGCAGCAAGTTGAAAGTATTTTACAATGAACATCCGTATACTCATCACTTAGATTCAACTATTAGCTGTTAATTAAATTTGCTCTATCATGTATCTCTCCAACTATCCATCTTATATCCATCCATCTAAATGTTTTGATGCATTTCAGAGTACATTATGGACAGCCATATAATAACCAAAAAAACGAAACCCACTACCATCAAGTTTTTTCAGTTTGTAGCCTGTCTGATCCCATGTGCAATTGCCACCCTTGTAGGTAGCTCTTTAGTGCTTATCCTACAATGCCATCAGGGCTGTTGAGTTGGTTCCAATTCATAGCAACCCTGATGAGGGTTTCTGAGAGCAGCTGGTAGTTTTGTTACCATTCTACTGCTCATCCTACAGTGTCACGCAGTAGTTTGCTGCCTACTAAATACTTAAACAGTGGGCTTTTTACTTACTGAAATGAAAACATTTCTCATAAAAGGTATTTTTATTAATTTGAAATTTATGGTAAATTAAGTTGCACTTTCAGATCTCAAAATTGCAAAATCAATTTGATGCAAACTGTTACTGTAAGCAGGCTACAAAAGACTAGAAAGCCATGAAGTGAAATGTCAGGGGTTTGTTTAAGAATGTCAACCTGCAGGGGAGACATGCAACAGATATCTCTCTGAGCTCAAAGCCTTTGGGGGTTTTATCATGCTAAAGACAAGGGAACATGTAGGGGTATTGTCAGCAGGTTCCTGGAATTGTTGGCAACATCTTGTGGTTTCAGATGGTTTTTCTTGGCTCCTGATTTCTCTGGTTGCATGCACATTTAATAGGTATAACATGGACTCTGCAACGAAGGTGTCTGGAGTACGAATTGCTCATGCAAGCGCATCACATCCAAGGCCCTGGTTCAAGAGCCAGGTCTGGCTCTGAGATGCCGTTTGGCTCTGAGCTTGCCAAATCAATTGTTACTCAGTTGGCCAAATCAATTGTTATTCAACTACTCTGTGTGCTAGGTATTTTCCATTCTGCTAGGAGTAGGCTTGTGGTCTGTGGGCTTCTGTATCGTTATGTGAGCTCAAGGGGGAATAGGGAGTTATTCAGTAAAAAGTAGTAAGTGTTTTGGTAAGTTTCATTTCCTGCTTGACCCATGCTTTTACAAGAGAATTGTTTGTCCTATCTTTATGCATCTCCTTGTCTTTTTTATTCCTCCTCCTGGTTGCACTTTTCTCTACCATGCCTCTCCCTGCCAAGAGAGACTTGTACCAAAAATGTTTTTTGGTAAGAGATGGGGATCTCATTTTGTTTTGGAGCTACTTCCAGCTGGCCATAGGTGATTGGCCTGCCTAACATGGTAGAAGTCTCTCTCTGCTTGATCTAAGG